GAACCCGCCGTTGAAGAACCCGCCGTTGAAGAACCCGCCGTTGAAGAACCCGCCGTTGAAGAACCCGCCGTTGAAGAACCCGCCGTTGAAGAACCGCCTTCTGAGGAAGCGCCTACTGAGGAACCACCTGCTGGGGAATCATCGGAAGAAACTCCAGCTGAAGAAGTCCCGGCAGAAAAAGAGCCTGCTGTGGAAGAGGCACCTGCTGACGAGCCTGCTGAAGACCCTGCCCCTGAAGAGGAAGCTCCAGCCGAAGAACCTCCGGCAGAAGAGGTACCTGCTGAAGAACCTCCTGCGGAAGAGCCTGCACCTGGGGAAGCTCCCGCCGAAGAGGAGGCTCCTGCTGAAGAACCCGCCGCTGAAGAACCTCCTGCTGAGGACGCTGCTCCTGAAGAGTCTGCTGCGACTGAAGAGCCACCAGCAGAAGAAGCTCCCGAGGAACCCCCTGCTGAAGAGCCTATGCCCGAAGAAGCTGCTGAAGACCCTCCAGCAGAGCCCGCTGAAGAACCTGCACCAGAAGAAGTTCCCGCTGAAGAAGCCCCCGCTGAAGAGCCAGTTGCTGAAGAACTACCTGCAGAAGACCTGCCAGCTGAGGCTCCCGCTGAAGAGACTGCTCCTGAAGAGGAACCAGTTGCTGAGGAAACTCCCGAAGAAGCTCCTGCTCCGGACGAGCCTGCGCCAGAGGAGACACCCACTGAACCAGCTGCTGAAGAAGCTCCCCCGGCTGAGGAGCCACCTGCTGAAGAGCCTGCTCCTGAAGAACCGCCTGCTGATGCTGATGGTGGAGAATCATCTAAGGACGATCACCTTGCAGAAGCCGCCGCTGCTGCGGGGGCTGTGGCAGCCGGAGCAGCAGGTGCTGCAGCTATACATTCGCGCAGAAAGAAGCGACGGTCTACAGATGTGGACGGCGAACGACGCCACTCTAGGAGCTCATCTTATGGATATCGCGATCTCGAACGCGGCGGCAAGGGTGATGGTAACGCCATCACGAACCGTTGGGTGAAGGCATTGGGAGAAGCCAAAAGAAAGCATGAAGAGAAGGCCAAGCACGAGGATAAGCGAACAAAACACCACAAAGTCGCCGTTATCGAAAGAGGCCGCCGATCAGAGGAGCGGGAACGAGAGCGCGGAGAATCGCAACCAAGGGAGCAAAGACGATCTAGACGTGCTTCGCGGTCTGAACGAACTGAACGAACCGTTGGGAAGGAAAGCGAAGTCCTCGAAACCAAATCAAGACGTCGGAGTTCGGTAAGCTATGAGCGAGACTTGGCCTCCTCGAAGCACGCGGCGATGTCGGCTTCTTCAGCACCAAAGCCTCGAGCCTTCCTGAAGTACATGAACACGGAGTCCGACACGAACGGTCCCTTGCTTATGATTAATGGCCACAAAGCCTCTGCCAACGTGCGCTACCATGACCACGGTCATGGAAGTCGTCGGTCTTCGAAGAGCTATGCCCATAGCCACAGCCACAGCCATAGCCGCACCCGTGATGAGGGAAGGAAGTCACTCGAACGTTCACACTCCACCAGATCTCGCCACAGCAACAAGGACGACGGCGATGATGAAGCAGCCCGACGAGAAGAGCGAGAAGCAAGACGGGCACGCAGAAAGGCCGCTGAAGAGGAGGAGAGGAAGCTCAAGGAGCAGCAAGAGCAGGAAGAGCAACAGAAGCAGCAAGAACAGCAACAGAAGGAAGCTGAGGAGAAAGAATCTCGTCATCGCCGGCATTCGGGCGAGAAAGAGCACCGTCATCGTTCTCATCACCATCGAAGTCGACAACTTGAGACTCCTCAGCCTCCGCGGCCGTCGAAATTGAGACAGATTCTTAAGGCTACTGTTGTGGTTTGTTGATTTGCTTCGGTTTTGTATTCTTTTTTTTTTTTTTTTTTTTTTTTTTTTTTTTTTTTTTTTGTGTGAACATTTTTTTTTTTTTTTAATACGTTTTGGCTTCTTTTGTTGGCGAGTTGTTGGGTTTCTGATTTTGATGACTGATGTACGCTATGATGTTATGTATTAGTGGGAGGT